CGCAGGGAGGAGGAAGGAGACAAGACACGGCACGACCCCCTTCTTCTGTATCAGCATTTGTACGACAACGCGGGGATGCAATGAATGAAGACGCTCTTGGAGAGTCGGCGTGGCTTGACGAGAACACCGACAGCAGGTGACTGGGGGTATGCTATGCAGGTGTACACATGTTCTGATTGAAAGGCGTTTGCAGGACAGATTGATGGGACCCAAAATTTTCTGGCTTGTGCGTGCAGTGCACAAGGATATCGTGAGGTGCCTGTGATTTCAAGCTCATAACGGGAGAAACATGCACTGGTTTAGCTGCTGTTATTCTCTAAATAGTCTGAAGCGCATTGGATGCGTGCATATAACCCCGCTTTGCGTTGTCTGCTGTCCGGTTGTTTGTCTTCACCGCTATTCTTTTCTGGCGCACTTTCAGCATATTACCCTTTACTGGAGAAAGACGGGAGTGCGTATTGTGTCATAGCAAAACTACTTTTCTGCCATTTTCGAATTCCACCTTCTGGTTACGTATTCTAGTGCCGGTCTTTCGTGTATGTAGCATGAAGTGATTTGGCAAGCTCGCGAGAAGGCTTCGAATCAACCACACGCTGACGAAGCATCCTTATTTTCCGGCTAACGTGCAAATGTTCGAGGGCTTTAATGTTTGTGTGATAAAGTGTGGCCTCATATATACGTCGCAAGCCCTCTGTACATTCGTGAATGCACATCAAATGTCTAATTGCGGCCGTACTTCCCAGCGTATAGTTGGTTTTTCTGTGGCATACGCGCTTGCGTGTGATTTCACAAAAATTCAGATGCATGACCAGATGGAACGAGGGGTTGACGCGTCGATGTGCCGATGAAGGCCCACACCAGGGAATAGATATTGATTTGCATTTCTTCTAATAGTGGCAACTGCGTGTATGCAACACCCCTTAGGAAGAGTTTGTGTTTATATGTATATCGGCACGAATGCGAAAAGCTGCTTTTCCCTCTTACGCGCTAACGCGCTAAGGGTATTGGTTACCTTTGGTGCCCAAACATAGACGTATCATCTCATCGGCAGCAACCAGTAACGTCCCTTTTGCAGCTGTAAGCAGTTGTTGATCAACCGGCTCTAACGAGTTATACCGAAGTGACTGAGGGCTTGCCGAAAGGTGCTCTGTGAGTGAGGTGCCAAGCCTGGTAATTTGAATCACAAGGGCGCCTTAGTGTCAAATGACGCACTGAGCTACTCTGATGCAGCGGCAGCTACGTATGCTGTGCTGCGCCACAGGTCTGTGCTTGCGTTGTGTGAGCCCCAATAAAAGCAAGCATTACATGCACCATGCACTCAAAGTGTGTGATTTGTGACCCTGGAAGAACTTTTCCTTCGGCTGTATTATTTCACGCGGCCGCCGGTCGAATTGCTTGATTTTGGCTCGACTCTCCCAGGTTGCTCGTACATCGTTCGACGAGCAGTTCAGTGGCATTCACACGGCAAAACTATAAATGGAATAACGGCTCTTTCTCCTTTTGCGAGTGAGCTAGGCATCTTGATTTCTTTACACCTGCAGGTTTTCAAGTAAACGGCTTCGTCCAGGACACAAGCTTCCAATTTCCATACCCATAGCATTTGTAGCTTACAACTACCTCCTAAGAGAACCTGCAAGTTTCAGTGCACCACTGTAACTATGATTCTTCATTAGATGGTGCACGTGGGCAGAAGGGAAACGATGGAATTGAAACACGTGTCGGAAGGATGGCGTGGAGTAGAGTGTTAGTAAATTCATCAAAAGGACCTGCGAGGTGAAGTCTGTCCGCGGGCATACGTGGATCGTAATGAGCTGCACTACAGTGGAGAAACGTCAAACAAGTGATATTGAAAATTCAGTAAATATATAGGCCTCCATTCCCCTGCCTCTCCAATCTCCAGGCCTTGTTTGCTCAGCGGGGCGGGGGCCTGGAACTCGCGCGGAGTGGAGGTTTCCTCTCATGTTTCGAAATACTCCTTGCTGCAAATGCTGATTCACGAACCCCCCCTTCGATAACATCATTATCACTGTAACGGTGGGGCAACACCTACTTAACCATTAGTAGGTATGTACCTGCTCACAAGTTGAAATATATGTGCCAGTTGCAGAAATCGTGCAAGACAAGCGGTGCTACAGCTGCAGCGTCTCATCTGCCAAAGAATACAACACTGAGAGGAATCGGGAGCCTATCACTTGTTCCATTGCAAGTATATGGGGCCATAAGCATATGGTAGGCTTTATGTTTTTAAGGCCATATATGATACTTGGAACGGCGCAGTCCAGTTGAGCTCGCAGGTTACAAATGACCGCTTCAGCACAGCATTTTCCCACGCGAGGGGCAACCGAGACGGTGTGTGTTTGTTCTTATTCTACGGAAGGCTGAAATCATTCATCATTAGAGTTGGCTTCGTCTGCTTATTCAAACAATACTTGTGTGGTTGATTGGCTTCTTAAATTAAGCAAACCTATATTTACGCTGGAGCCCGGAAACCTGGGATCGTCGGCGCCGCCAGGAGAGGCCAAGTTCATACGGTCTGTTGCTCCGCTGAAGGAGATGACACATCCATTCCCTCCCATTAAAGTTTTTCTAGTGGATCTGTAACTACCTTAGATGCTCATCTTTCCAAGAGTTGTCGAGCTGCGGAGGTCTGAGGACGCCAGGAGTACGCCATTTCCGACGGATTGCGGTACTCACGATTTTTCGTTCCGGCCCCATGAAATAGCTTTGCATATGCATCATCTATAGAACTCTCCATTTTCCTGTCGCTTAGGCGGTGCATAGTTCGGAGGAAAGCTCACTGCTCAGCGGCTATGCATAGGCACACGGAGATACCCTCTTCGATTCCGTGTCGAGATGCAGTCCTTCTTTCCGCCAACAGTCCCTCTTTTCCTTGGGGCAGCAAAGACGGCGTTGTGGGTGGATGCGGTTGGAGGGATCAGGTGAGCGTGTCTGCAGTTTATGCCTCAACAGGGCTTCCACGTCGGAGTTTGGAACGAAAGTTGCAACTAAGGAGTGTGTTCCTCGCGACTGCCCTTGCTGCAGCATTTTTTTTGCTCCGTTGTTATCGTCAGCTCACGTTTGGGAACAGGCATTCAAAAACACTTCTGAGGACGCTGGCTGAAGGGGGAGCTTCAGGAGAATGGTTGGAGGCAAGAGGTGGAGGGTGCTGGAGAACCGGCATGGAAGGCAACGAACCACCTGTAGGTGTCAGTGATGGCATTGAACTTGCGATGCAGAGGCGGGCTGAAGGCGTGGTACGAACACTCATGCACGTGACGAAAGATTGCTCGCTCACTGCCGGCTTGCTTCCGCTGCCATACCCTATGAAGGTGGTCGACCTTTTCGTGGGACTTTGCATTCAGGAAGTCGCCGCTCTGTCGGCCTTGCTGGGAACACACTTTGAGACACGCAAATGGGAAGTCCTTTCGTTTGCCGACAGAGCAGCTTTTGTCGTGATAGGCGTTTGTTGCCGCCAGCCTGAAACCACTTCGCAACAACGCCATGCACTTCGCCTCGTGAAGTACGCAAAACAGCTGCGAAATACTAAGCCAGACAACCCACCGATCGCAAATGAGGATCGTTTAAAGATGTTGGGGGAACTTCTGGACCTTCAGGAAACGGCTTTAAGACTCATACACACTTTTGTTCAAACATTTTTATCAGAGGGGCTCCAACACCCAGAAACGCCAGTGTCGGCGGAAGCAGCACATGAATTTACCGAGGAATTGAAGCGCATCGTCTACATCCGGCGTTCTCAGGTGTTCATGAGTAAGCACTTGAGTCATCTACTGCGAGTGTTTGAAGCCAATCGCGTGCAGGGGAGGCTAGTGCGTGTGCCGCATCTCAATGCAATAGACGCAAGCCCTCGAAAAACACTGGACAAGCAACTTGTCGACCTAACTGACCCCAGCACTTGGCTCAAAAATCCCCTATATACGACCCAAAGGCCCCCCAAAGGAGAGTCTAGCGCAGAACAACGGGAGCCCCAAGATAGGCACAGCGCTGCCCCTACAAGCGACCAAGCGACAAAAACACCTGATGGAGGTCGTCCTCCGCTTCCTGGTCACTCTACAGGCCAGGCGAGCTTGTCTGATTGTAGGAAGGGAGAAGCGCAGGCACAAAAGAGTCAAGCAGAAATGGACAGCAGTAACTCTGAGCAGACTCAGCAGGCACCAGGCGGCATCAGTCCTCCATCTGAAGCTGAAATGATGCAGGCAGCTCAGATCCAAACTGAAGCAACGCCGGTTTACTGTCAGCTTCTGCCTGAACTGGATACAGCCTTTTCAGAACTTTCAGTAGTCTCCAAGCTAGGCTGGGATGATCACCCCTCTTCAGACCCTGCAGCCTCTTCCCTGACCGCGAGTTCACAGCCAGTTCTACCACCAGCCAAAGGGACGGAGGCATCCTGGTATGGGAGGGATGCTAATTGGAACTTTGGCCTGCCCACAGAGACGACAGGGTCACCAAGAACTAGCGCACAGTGGCAACGCCCGCCATATTTGCCTCAGGTTCCGATTCCAGATTTGAATGCCCAAGCGGCATCACATACGCCAGAAGGCCTCCAGGGAGGCAGTGCAGGTGACCCTCTGCAAAATGGGGCTAGCTCACAGTGGGGGTTGATGACTCTTCCTGCGTCTCCACCCTCGTTATTCCCCTTTACAACACCACAGTCAATTGCCTCGGAAGGTACAGAGATGCTGTACTCCTTACGGTCACAAGGTCAATCTGCAGACATCCACAGGCCATCCCGTCCCCATTCGAGGCCGTTTTGGCTAACTAGAGAACATAACAGTTGGTCAGTAGATATGACCGGGTCCTCAGATTTAGAGGGGAGGACCGGAAGCCGCTACATAATGGGACAAGGAATGGCGCAGGGAGGAGGAAGGAGACAAGACACGGCACGACCCCCTTCTTCTGTATCAGCATTTGTACGACAACGCGGGGATGCAGTGAATGAAGACGCTCTTAGAGAGTCGGCGTGGCTTGACAAGAACACCGACAGCAGGTGACTGGGGGTATGCTATGCAGGTGTACACATGTCCTGATTGAGAGGCGTTTGCAGGACGGATTGATGGGACCCAAAATTTTCTGGCTTGTGCGTGCAGTGCACAAGGATATCGTGAGGTGCCTGTGATTTCAAGCTCATAACGGGAGAAACATGCACTGGTTTAGCTGCTGTTATTCTCTAAATAGTCTGAAGCGCATTGGATGCGTGCATATAACCCCGCTTTGCGTTGTCTGCTGTCCGGTTGTTTGTCTTCACCGCTATTCTTTTCTGGCGCACTTTCAGCATATTACCCTTTACTGGAGAAAGACGGGAGTGCGTATTGTGTCATAGCAAAACTACTTTTCTGCCATTTTCGAATTCCACCTTCTGGTTACGTATTTTAGTGCACGTCTTTGGTCTATGTAGTATGAAATCCACTGGCAAACTCAGGAAGGTCATTCAAGTTACTCGATAGCATGAATAATGACTGTCGTTGTCATTGTTTCGTTTGCTCGCGTTTGCAGGCTTGTATGTGTATGTCAGTTGGTGTAACCTCGTATGTACATCTTGTGCTTACTGTGAAAAGGAACGTGCCCACGTAGTGTTTAGTTGTGATCGTACTTCCCTGACCTGAATAGGGATGCCTTTTGTGTAATGCATGCATCTGCATCCAATTTCAGACAAAGCATTTACGGGTGCATAGATGCTACAAGCGCCTTACATTGTTAGATGCTGTAAATAACGCGACTCAGGAGGCAGATATGGATTTTACTTACTCTGAAAGAGACAAATACGTGTACTCAGAATCCCCACGTTCGGCATTGTCCTTTTGCTTCTGTCGGCCCGTATGAGAGTCGCCATACCCTTTTAGATATACTCGGACGCATTTCGCAACAACACCTTGCCCTTGGGGGCCCCTGAACACTACATGTCAATCCCTCTGGGAAACAGCCAGTAACTTGTCTTCTGGAGCTGTAGGGAGCTGCTGCTCCACTGAATCCCCAGGCTCTTCTACAGGAGAGGCCGCCGGCATGCCTGAAAAATTCCCTTTTGACGCATTGCCAAGACAGGCATTTGGGAGCAAAAGGATATATTTAAAGCCATTAGGCAGACAGTACAATCCGGACGTAGCAACTCCCGGATGTATGACGTGAGGCGCCGTAGAGCAACTCTGCGTATTTAAGAGGAGTGCAAGCCCTGAGCACGTGGTTGGTATGCCTGCTGGTGGATTAGCCTTGCAGCAACGGGGGATCCCGCAAACCATGACAAGGGGCCCCAACTCTTAAAGATCTCCAGGACCTTGTGCCGCTGGGCACTGGAAGCCTGGAGATTGGATTCCGCGACCCTTGTCAGCCTTGTAGGAACTCTTGTGTTGCGTTTCTTCACTCTAGTTTAGTTTAGTTGGCGATCGCCAGCAACGGTAGAAGAGTCTCGTAACACGGACTGTCACGGGTTGTTGGAGTTATCCCTAGCCCAATTCCCGCTGCATTTCTACCCCACATGCAAGGACAGCCAACCCCGCTGTTAGAGCATAAATTAACACTGTAGACAGTTGTTCAGCACGTACGCGGCCATCAGTGCCAGCCTCCACAGAGCAAGTTGAACGAATACTTGTACCAACTAGGTATATTGTACCATAAAAGGGAATTTGAAGATTTCGGCTGTCCTATTAGACTAAGAATGAGCAAGTAAAAGTTCCCAACAACAATCTACAGCGCGTGTACGCATATCCTAGGAAGCTTATTGTTCCCTCGTCACTTGTTTATGTGGGGCTGTATTTTGCCTTGAGTTGCAGCAAGATGTGTTGCAACTCATGGTAGGCAGCCTACTCTTTTTCAACTCCAAGCGATTGAGCTTGTGAGCACTGGACGCCCGGAGTTCGGGGGAGGAGGTCGGCTGCCTTTAAGGAACTCTCATTGTGAGCATTTGGGGAACCGCACCGAAAGACACAGTTCCAAACAGTGCAGCAGCTGACCTCACCTCCATTTTCTTCGCTTCCTACGCACTGCAGCACAAGGGTCCGTTGCTCGTGCGGCGGAGTGCAGGCGCCTATCAAGTAAACCTCGGGAGTCGCACCAGCTATGTCTGCAACTCCTTCTCCGCGGCTGCCCCATGGGAGTATTTCCCCAAACCAATCTTCGGCGCTTGAATTTACTAGCCAAATGGTGGCTTGCTTACTATTTCATTTGGTAGTCAACAGTCAGCTGCCTGCAGATACTGTGGAATACGTGTTCAGCCTGGACAGAGTATGCTAGACACGCCTTGCTACAACTGTAGCCTGCGGATTTCCAAAAGATCATCGGGTGTACCCCAAAAGGAAAAATATGGGTGGAATATGCTTAAAAATGTCAGAAGGGCTAGTGGAGTTGCAGGATACGCGCGAGCGCCCACACCCTCAGCTACTGCACGGAGGGGACGCGACACAGTGAATTCATTGTATGCTCGCCATCTGAGGGCCTTCACTGCCGACAAGAAATTATTGAAGCAAACTTTGTATGACTGTTCAAACATGAATTACGCCCTTTGTTGATAATTTTTGCTCTGAGAAACGGTCTACCGCTGGAAAAATAATCGACGCGCAAAGACGGGGGAAAGTCGGCCGGCGATTGTGGAGGCGCATGTCAACCTCTGCACGGGGCCTTGGAATGAGCTGGTACACTCGCTACATTACATATCAATCTGTTCTCAGAAACATCAATAGCTCTACTAGGATATCGTCTTCTCCAATGATGCTTGGTTTCTGGGGATTGGGTGCGCAGTTTTATCTGGGCATAGGGTTTCAGGGCGTAGTGCTTTTAGGGTTAGCGGTTAGGGTTAGGGGTTGGCGTTTTAGGGCCTAGGGTTTAGATTTAGCGTTTAGTGGTGTTAACCACATGTTTCTTTCTCCCAGCTCACGAGATAGCTCCGCAAGCGTGGTGATGATGGATTTTCCTGGCTCGTAACAAACCAGCTGAGGGAAACACTCATCGCCTAGCGGCTATGCAAAAGAAAATGGAGATATCTGTTTCCGGCCCTAAAGGAGATGCACTCCCTGATACCATCGACACCAGTCGTTTGCAAGTGGCGAACAGGTATGGAAGTTTTGAGGAATGGGGACCTCGGGAATATGCGCTTGCAGCTCACACCACACGGAAGCTTCCCCGCTGGCCACTAAACTGGAATTTACAGATGAAGACCCTGATTTTCGCGGCAGCATTTTCTGCAGCATCTGTGCTACTTTGTTGTTACCGTCAGCTCACTATTGGGAGCAACCGTGGACATGGACTTCTGAGGTCTCTGGCTGAAGGGGAACGCAAAGAGGGAGCAACGCCGTGTTTGGGAACTTGCTTAGCAAGCAAAGAGGCAACTGGTGGAGTCAGTGATAACACTGAAATTGCGTCGCAACCACGCGTTGGAAGTGTGACGCCACGACTGATACAGGTGACGGAAGTTTGTGCGTCTGTTGCTCCTCGGCTTCCGTTGCCATTTCCTATGCGGGTAGCAGAACTTCTCTTAGGATTTTACATCCAGGGAGTCGCTGCCTTGTCGACGCTGGTGGGGAGACAGTCTGATCTGCAGAAGCTGGAGCTCCTGGAGGCGCTGTAGAAGTGGCTAACGGTATAAAGCAGTCGTGTCGGCAACGCTCCACAACAGCGCAGCAGCGTCATTTGCCTAGGCTCGTAAAACATGATAAAAGGGTACAGAAAGCTGTGCAGGAATATTCTGTTTTCGCAAAGGAAGAGCGTTTACAGATGCTGCGAGAGCTTCTAGAGCTTCAAGAAGTGGCCCTAGGACTCATAGAAACATCAATGTCACCGTCGGGGCCCCAACACGAAGAAACGCCCCTAACTAAGGAAGCCACTCATGAGTTTACCGAAGAACTGAGGCGCATCATCTACACTCGGCGCAATCAGGTGTTCAGCAGTAAGCATTTGAGACACTGTCTGAGGGAGGTAGAAGCTGGCAACTCCAGGGGAATGTCAAAACTATGGACGCAGGACCCAAGAATACGTTCGACAAGCAGCTTGCTGACCTGATGCTCGGTGAAAGCCGGTTTCGAATACCTCTATACTCAGGCCAAAGCAATTTGCTGAAGACACCTAATCAGGAAAGTGTTACCGCGGGGAAACGGCAGCAGCAACGACTCGTCCATAGCAGTGCTACTACGGAATTACAAGCAACTGAAACAAGCTCTAGATGTGAGCGCAGCAGGTCGATGAAGCATCGATGGTCTAGATTCAGGCGGGAAAAGCGGGAGCCGCTGACACAAGAGACCTTGGCAGACCCAGACCCAGGCTCCACCCAGAAACCCTGCCGGCAACAGGCAGATTCAGCCAAATGTATATAGGTGGAAGCGAGCTAAAAAGCTATGTCCAGCCATACCAGGCTCCCACTCTTGCCTATCGTCCTGGCCAATCACTGCCTGAGCTGGGCACAGCTCCTTCCGAACCGGGCGTTAGCCTCAATATACGCTGGGATGAACGTGCCTCTCTCGGCCCTGCCTCCACTTCTTCTCTGGACGCGAGTTTGCAACGAACAATGGCAGGTGCCGACGTGCCACTGGAGGCACCACGGCAAGATTGGGATGCTGCAAAACAGTCTGGCGTGGCGACAACACCATCGTGGTCGCCATGGTCCAGCAAATGGCCTACCCTCCTACACCTCAAACCTCCGCGTCAGACTCCAGATTCGACTTCTCCAAGGACAGCGTATACAGCGGATAGCTCAGTGGCAGGAAGTCCGCATCAGACACCACAACATGTCTCTCGGCCGCCATGGGTGTTCCGGTTTTCCGCTTCTCCTTCACCCTCTTCGGATCCCTTCACCACACAACAATCTATGGCCTCGGCAGGTGCTGCGATGCTCTACTCCGGGCAACCACAGGAGGGGTTTGCGAGCGAGCAGAGCATGACCCCGCCCCCGTCACGACCTCACCTGCCCACGCAGCCTTCTTCCGTATCCACTGTGTCTTCGCAAACGATGGAGCAGGGAGTTCATTCTGGTGTGCCTGGTTCTTCAGTGCAAACGATGATGAGTCCTAGA